TAGGCCAGAAACAGAACTAACCAAACACCAGAAACAAACTATTCACACATAAGCCAGAAACAGAACTAACCAAACACCAGAAACAAATAATTCACACATAGGCCAGAAACAGAACTTACCACAAACCAGAAACAAACTATTCAAACATAGGCCAGTAACAGAACTAACCACTCACATGAAATAAACAATTCACACATAGGCCAGAAACAGAACTATAACCACACACCAGAAACAAACAATTCACACATAGGCCAGAAACAGAACTTACCACAAACCAGAAACAAACTATTCAAACATAGACCAGTAACAGAACTAACCACTCACATGAAACAAACAATTCACACATAGGCCAGAAACAGAACTAACCACACACCAGAAACAAACAATTCACACATAGGTTAGAAACAGAACTTACCACAAACCAGAAACAAACAATTCACACATAGGCCAGAAACAGAACTTACCACAAACCAGAAACAAACAATTCACACATAGGCCAGAAACAGAACTAACCACACACCAGAAACAAACAATTCACACATAGGCCAGAAACAGAACTTACCACAAACCAGAAACAAACAATTCACACATAGGCCAGAAACAGAACTAACCACGCACATGAAACAAACAATTCACACATAGGCCAGAAACAGAACTAACCACAGACAAGAAACAAACAATTCACACATATGCCAGGAACAGAAATAACCACACACAAGAAACAAACAATTCAAACATAAGCCAGATACAGAAATAACCACAGACAAGAAACAAACAATTCACACATATGCCAGAAACAGAACTTACCACAAACCAGAAACAAACTATTCAAACATAGGCCAGAAACAGAACTAACCACAGACCAGAAACAAACAATTCACACATAGGCCAGAAACAGAACTAACCACAGACCAGAAACAAACAATTCACACATAAGCCAGAAACAGAACTAACCACAGACCAGAAACAAACAATTCACACATAAGCCAGAAACAGAACTAACCACACACCAGAAACAAACAATTCACACATAAGCCAGAAACAGAACTAACCACACACCAGAAACAAACAATTCACACATAGGCCAGAAACAGAACTAACCACACACCAGAAACAAACAATTCACACATAGGTCAGAAACAGAAATAACCACACACCAGAAACAAACAATTCACACATAAGCCAGAAACAGAACTAACCACACACCAGAAACAAACAATTCACACATAAGCCAGAAACAGAACTAACCACAGACAAGAAACAAACAATTCACACATAGGTCAGAAACAGAACTAACCATACACCAGAAACAAACAATTCACACATAAGCCAGAAACAGAACTAACCACACACCAGAAACAAACAATTCACACATAGGCCAGAAACAGAACTAACCACACACCAGAAACAAACTATTCACACATAGGCCAGAAACAGAACTAACCTCTCACCAGAAACAAACAATTCACACATAAGCCAGTAACAGAACTAACCACTCACATGAAACAAACAATTCACACATAGGCCAGAAACAGAACTAACCACACACCAGAAACAAACTATTCACACATAGCCCAGAAACAGAACTAACCACACACCAGAAACAAACTATTCACACATAGGCCAGAAACAGAACTAACCACAGACCAGAAACAAACTATTCACACATTGGCCACAAACAATGGATGTAAAGTTCTACACACAGGCCACAAGAAAAAAATAAATGGGGAATGTGTCCATGAGACACAGATAATGCCCCCGCTTGCATATAATGTTATAAAGCGACATAACTCAAGAACGGTATAAGTGACGCTTCTCAACTATGTACTTGATCTGAGTTTTGTGGTAATAAGCATTGGTATAAGTTTCATAACATCTGGTTGAGGCAAACTTAAGTTAGAGAAAGGAAACGAAAAATTCAGCAATTTTTTCCATTTGTAAAGGGGCACAACTCTAGAAAAGTAAAAGAGACGCCACCCAAAATCAAACTCGATCTGTGTTTTATGGTAATAAGCATTGTGTATAAGTTTCATAACATTTGGTAGACACAAACTAAAGTTAGAGAACGGAAACCAATTTCAGGATGTATGGACCTACAGATGTACGATTCTGGACGTACAGATGGACAAGGGTAAAACTTAATGCCCCCTCCACCACAACAGGTGCATAAAAACCAAAGTACACAAAGGCCAGAAACAATAGGATTAATTGCAAACTTGAGAGAAACAATTACATTCATTACATTCATATAAACAATAAAACTAAATACTGAATTAATTAAGTTTCTTTTTAATGAAAAACCTTGTTTTTTGCCATCTTACAACATGAACAATATATCATCTGTTGTTATATATCAATGACATAAAATGTCAAAATCCTACGATTATTACAAACTATACCTTATTAGCATTATAAAATATCATATAAAATCAAAGCAGTTATTGATCAGAACTGTGGATAAAGATTTAATATTCTTGACTTCAGCTGATTAATAGACTATTTATAGAATAAGTGGGTTTTTCCTGAATCTATGTAGTATTTTGACATTTGAGTGCATGTACATGTATACATCTATCACCTAGCTACATGGCTAAGATTAAAATTGTCATATCTATAGATGCTATACAGTAATTAGATGTAATAATAATTCAAGTGTATTTGGGTGTGTTTTTTCAAATGTACTTCTCTCCTGTAGTCATTTTTATTACTGAAAGGTATAGTGAAGATTGATTTGAGGAACTGGCTCTTGTGATTTGAGAATTTCACAGAAAAATTTGAAATCATTCTTCAATTACTAAGGCCAAAAAATTTATACATGTGTTTACGCTAACCCTACCTACCCTAATTTTTAGAGCCTACCCTAACACTTTTTATGCCATTTTGGAACAAGCACTGTTAAAGTCAGACTAATTCCCTAGTAGTAACCAGCTAAAAAATGTTTGTAAAATAAAATATTGCCTTTTTTTTTTCAGCACGTTAGCGGAAACACATGTATTATTTCTTTTGGCCTAATATCTTTTTTCTATGGACACCAATGAGCTATTATTTAATCAGTAGAAATTTCTATATTTTTATGGGGACCACGAGGACCAGTTACTCACTGGTAGACCTATTCTTTACCTATTTACTGTCTGAAGATTAGACCAGTAACTTTCTTACCTGTTTTACTGTCTGAAGATTATACAGACCAGCTACTCATGATCACTTGTAGACCTCTTCCTAACCTGTTTTACTGTCTGAAGATTATACAGACCAGTTACTCATGATCACTTGTAGACCTCTTCCTAACCTGTTTTACTGTCTGAAGATTATACAGACCAGTTACTCATGATCACTTGTAGACCTCTTCCTTACCTGTTTTACTGTCTGAAGATTATACAGACCAGTTACTCATGATCACTTTTAGACCTCTTCCTTACCTGTTTTACTGTCTGAAGATTATACAGACCAGTTACTCATGATCACTTGTAGACCTCTTCCTTACCTGTTTTACTGTCTGAAGATTATACAGACCAGTTACTCGTGATCACTTGTAGACCTCTTCCTTACCTGTTTTACTGTCTGAAGATTATACATACCAGTTACTCATGATCACTTGTATTTCCTTACCTGTTTTACTGTCTGAAGATTATACAGACCAGTTACTCACTTGTAGACCTATACATTTTTACTGTCTGAAGATTATACATATCAGTTACTCACTTGTAGGCCTATACCTTTTTACTGTCTGAAGATTATACAGACCAGTTACTCACTTGTAGACCTATACCTTTTTACTGTCTGAAGATTATACATATCAGTTACTCACTTGTAGGCCTATACCTTTTTACTGTCTGAGGATTATATAGACCAGTTACTCACTTGTAGACCTATACCTTTTTACTGTCTGAAGATTATACAGACCTGTTACTCACTTGTAGACCTATACCTTTTTACTGTCTGAAGATTATACAGACCAGTTACTCACTTGTAGACCTATATCTTTTTACTGTCTGAGGATTATATACTTGTTGAACTACTGTGGATTCGTTATTATTCAGGGGGAACATATTTATTCAGGGGGTACCAATTTTCATGGATTTCAGGGGTAAAGGTGAACAAGGAATTTAGATGTTCAACAAAGTACAAATTTAAAATAGGTTTGGATGTAAGACTTTTTGAAAACCAATAGTTCATTCTGTGGACTATTAAGACTTACCTGTAGAAATATCTGTAATTTGTAGTACTTTCTGCATGTTCCGTGATACATTAGAACTTACCTGTAGAAATGTATGTAATTTGTTGTACTTTCTGTGATACATTAGAACTTACCTGTAGAAATGTCTGTAACTTGTTGTACTTTCTGTGATTCATTAGAACTTACCTGTAGAAATGTCTGTAATTTGTTTTACTTTCTGTGGACCATTAGTACTTACCTGTAGAAATATCTGTTATATTTGTTGTACTTTCTGTGGATTATAAGGACTTACCTGAAGAAATATCTGTAATTTTTAGTACTTTCTGTAATACATTAGAACTTACCTGTAGAAATTCCTGTAATTTGTTGTACTTTCTGTGATACATTAGAACTTACCTGTAGAAATGTCTGTAATTTGTTGTACTTTCTGTGGACCATTAGGACTTACCTGTAGAAATATCTGTTATATTTGTTGTACTTTCTGTGGATTATAAGGAATTACTTGAAGACATATCTGCAATTTGTAGTACTTTCTGCATGTTCTGTGATACATTAGAACTTACCTGTAGAAATGTCTGTAATTTGTTGTACTTTCTGTGAAACATTAGAACTTACCTGTAGAAATATCTATAATTTGTTGTACTTTCTGTGATACATTAGAACTTACCTGTAGAAATGTCTGTAATTTGTTGTACTTTCTGTGAAACATTAGAACTTACCTGTAGAAATATCTATAATTTGTTGTACTTTCTGTTATACATTTGAACTTACCTGTAGAAATGTCTGTAATTTGTTGTACTTTCTGTTGACCAATAGGACTTACCTGTAGAAATGTCTGTAATTTGTTGTACTTTCTGTGGACCATCGGTGACAGGCATGACAGGTAATAATGAGGTGACAGGTGCTGATATCATTGATGACATCGGTGTAATCTGTTGTAACTGTTGCTGTATAATGGAAACCTTCTGTGGCTTTCCAGCATGGCTGTGATTGTTAACATATACAGTTTTAGGGTCTGGGCTAATTGAAGATTGTGTCCTCATAGGACTAGCACTAATCAAACTTTTAAGTGTAGCCATAGTTGTTATAGCAACATTGACCATGTGATGATTGTTTGAGGTGACATCCCTTGTCACCTGACTGTTATTAATAGCGAATGGCACATTGCGTAACTGATGATATGTTTTCTCTGCTTGTCTATCCTGTACAGATTTAGGAGAAGGCATTGAACTGAGCGAGTGGCTCTGAGTTGATTTGATTCTATTCTGAATCTCTTGCATGGGCATGTTAGATAAACTTGCCATTCTCTGTTGTTGTTGTAATGGACTTGGGTAAGCACTAAAAGGCAGACTTCTCTGAGAACCTGGACCAGTGGGTGTGTGAATGTCAATACCAGAATCTTCACTTCGTAATGAATCCTGCTTTGAAAGATTAGTACTTTTCTGATATAAATGTTCTAATGAATGAGGCTGCATCATCCCTAAGGCATTAGACCCTGAAGGAAACCTCGGAGTAATAGGGGAAACATGCTCTGATGAGGAACTACCCGACTTTGAGCTCCAACTTCTGGTTGGAGAATTCATATAAACCTGTGCATGTGACCTCGGAAGTGGAGATATAGGAGTGAATGATACAGAATTTCTTCCTCCTGTTGAAGGCGATGGTCCACTTCCTGTTAAGGGCGATAGCGGATTCTGCATAGGTGTGGGTGAGTAGGCAGGCGTTGTTGATCGAGAATTTCCCAGAGATAATAACATATTTGCTGCCTCTGCTTCATCACAGCGTACAGGTGTGGCTGATGTGTCATATTCACTATCCCTATTAGACTGGGTCTCCCAGTCAATCTGTCCATCATCTCCTTTACCTGGATAACCTCGCCCATTCTTTTGTCCTTTCATTGATAAGTGTCTAGAACAATAACCACGCCTTTGAGATTCTTTTGTGCATCCCTCCTTTGAACAAAGTCTTCTCCACTGTTTGCCGTTGAATTTTTTTCTAATTCCATTTGGAGTAGAAACTACATCGCCTTTTTTATATTTCTGTGATGTAGAGGGTGACCTAGGTGTACTGGATCTACTACTCTCGCCAGACTGAGCACTACGACTTCTTGCTGATTCTCGCTTCTTTGGTGGCTGTCTATTTCCTTGTGACCTTGACCCTGACCCAGGTGTTGCGCTTCCAGACCTAGGCGTACTTAATCCTGAGGAATCAAAGAAATCTTCACTTTTCATTTCATCTTCTGATGAATCACCTCTTTCATTACTTGTACTTTGAGGCAAAGATGGAGATCGTTCAAATCGTTGTACACTGGACGGAGATATTTCAGAATGATGTGCCATGTGTGGAGGCTGGGGTTGTACTGGAACTTGTACAGAAATGGGTGTCGATATAAATTGTGGTGGAGGCGGAGTCTCTTGCTCTGGAATTCCTTCTTCTAAATCTTCATACCATGGTGGCTGTAGAAGTCTTAGACTTGCCCTGGATACCCAATCATCATATTTACTATCTCTAGTTCTAACTCTGTAACCTATTTGATGGCTACGTTTAGCCACCATCTGACCTTCATGATACACCTTTTCCTCAGGATGAGTTCGTACACAGACACGTGAACCTACACCTAACATAATAGCCATAGGACTATGATCACTGATGATGTCATAGAAGTTCCTCTGGTCAGCAACATCATTATAATACACTATATTCTTATCACTGTCAAATAATATTCCTATGTGACGATTGTTCTTGATATCTCTTATAACACCTGGCTGATAAACTCCATCACGTCTCGCTAGAACTCTCTGATTTATCCATTCACTGAAGTCAATTAGAGGTCGTTTAGAGGGTGGCATTGTTTCTTTTTCCATATCATTACTCTTTCTTTTCTTTGGTGGAATAGCAATTAATTTCTCTTCTGTTGGAGTTTTCATACCAGTATCACTAGGGTGATTTGAACCATCTGAGCTCTTCCGTTGCATTGTTGGTAAGACCTCAGATTTAGGACTTGGAGGAGGCAGTGATGGAGGTGGTGGTAACGGCTGCTGAAATGACCCCTCCGTTTCCTTAGTTTTACCTTCCTCAACTGATTTTACACTTTTTCCAGTTTTCCCTGAAAAAAGAAAAAATAGCAATCATTTCAACATGTTCAAGAGAACGTTTTACTTCCCCTTCATCTAGGCAAGTAATTGCATTAAATGAAGGGAATACCAAATGAATGGAAATCTTAACTGTTCTGTGTCCATTAAATGAAGGGAATACCAAATGAATGGAAATCTTAACTGTTCTGTGTCCATTAAATGAAGGGCATAACAAATGAATGGAAATAATAACTGTTCTGTGTAAAGACATTCCATTAAATGAAGGCATAACAAATGAATGGAAATCTAAACAAATGAATGGAAATCTTAACTGTTGTGTGTAAATTTCAACATTTTATGATTGGACAGAGGGAGCACAGCATGAGCTTCTTGGAACAAAATCTTTAGTGCCCTTGAATTGTTATGTCATTTATAAATACATGTTATATAGGTCATGGCAAGCAAAAAAATATACATGTGCATAGCTTGAGGTAGACATATAAATGGCCCCAAAAATCAATCATTTATCTTGGAGTCAACAGACATATTCAATCTTACACCTTCATGACCTTATATCTTCTGAAGGTGATACTCCTGTGTTATAAGAAAATGTAGGCACCAGACAAAAAAAAAGCCCTAAAAATTAAGTTCATATGAAGGTCGAGATGGAGGGTGTAGATGGGGGGTCCTTCATTTCTGTATTCTTTAACTTTTTATGCTATTTTTCTGTTTTCTTTATCAATTTTGTCTGTTATTCTCTATTCTTTATATTTTAGCACCCCATTATTCTCTATTCTTTAATTTTTTGGCCTATTTTTCTCTATTCTTTATTTTCTAAGCACTTTATTCTGCACATTTTGCCCATTATTCTCTATTCTGTAAACCCCACCCAGATCCTCATGATGGCATAGGACGCACTATCTTATAGTTATAAACCTTAATATCAAATACATTATTATTAACTCAATGTCAAAATATATTTAACACTGTCATTGACTGTAGATCCATGACAGATTTGTATGGAAAAGAACTAAAACAACCACCCTTTGTTGAAAAGATAAATATTTAATGAGAACATTTTTGTTATTAAAGAAGTGTAATTTTACCCATTAAACACTTTTTCATGGAAAAAGACCATTTTCCATCTAGGCCCAACCGGCCACAATATGAAAGATTAACATACATATAAGCACTTTGGACATTTTCGGTTAAATTTAATCCTTCAGATTTTTGTGTGAAAATGGTGTTCCAAGGATTTTTGATTGATGAGTGACCCTGAAAATTTTGAGAGGTCATCCTCTTTCATTTGGAATTTGGAATTAAGAATACTCTTATGAAGACCTAGTCAGTGTTTATATGAAAGCCAGGTGATGTGGTACAGTTACATATCTACCTAAAGACCACACAGATTAGAAAGTCTAAACATCTTCTTCCTTCAATATTAGCTGTCAATTTACCTTTAGGGACCCCACTACCCACAGCAGCACTGGTTCCCTGATCTGACCTGGCGTCTTTCACTTCTTCATCTATTTTCTCAGCTAGATCTTCTTGATTCTGGCCAGCCCTTTTCTTTCCTCTTCCTGAAAAACAAACAGATCATATTATTAAAGGAAATGCTTCGCAAGGCACAGCTTGATATGACCGCAGAGGTTGAACCTTGAACAGTTGGGGCAAATATGAACACAACATTCAAGCTTGATACAGCTCTGAATTTGGATTGTGATTAAGTATTTGACACAGCATAGTTTTCTGTTTCATTTTGGACCCTTTAAACTTAATGTGGACCAATTTGAAAACCTGACCAAAATCAAAACATGGAGTGACCAGTTTACCCAGACCCCTGATGTGTTTGGAGTGACCAGTTTACCCAGACCCCTGATATGTTTGGAGTGACCAGTTTACCCAGACCCCTGATATGTTTGGAGTGACCAGTTTACCCAAACACCTGATTTTGTTTGTGTTCACCAGTTTACCAAAACACTTGATATTGTTTTTATTTAATTGTAAAACTACAGGTAATTCCAGTTACTGGAAGAAAGTTTTAATCAGTGGTATAAAGTTTATAATAAAATTCTATCCAAGACATATGAATCTACAAAAACAGCTGTTTAGTGTTTTAATTAAACATAAACTTGCTCTTTCTTTGAATTCAAGACAAACTCTTGAACTCCGACAAAAATTAAACAAACACAAAATGGATGAAATCATACTTCTTCCCCTGTATGCCCCCTCCTTCCTGACAGAATGGTGATAATTGTATTATTGAACAAACCTGTACTGGCAGACCTGAAACTTGTTTGAGGGCTGTCCAATCATTTACCCCCTGTGCCTACTCCTTCCTGACAGAATGGTGATAATTGTATTATTGAACAAACCTGTACTGGTAGACCTGAAACTTGTTTGAGGGCTGTCCAATCATTTACCCCTTGTGCCCACTCCTGCCTAACAGAATGGTGATAATTGTATTATTGAACAAACCTGTACTGGTAGACCTGAAACTTGTTTGAGGGCTGTCCAATCATTTACCCCTTGTGCCCACTCCTGCCTAACAGAATGGTGATAATTGTATTATTAAACAAACCTGTACTGAAAGACCTGAAACTTGTTCGAAGGCTGTCCAACCCTAACCCTAACCCTTGTGTCCCCTCCTGTCAAACAGAATGGTGATAATAGTACCTGTACTGGCAGACCTGAAACCTGTTTGAGGGCTGCCCGATCGTCCACGTTTTGTCCTTGTCTCTCTTCTGCTCATAGTATAGACACCTCAATTCTGACCTGAAAAAAAAAATTGATGTTATACATCTGATGATTCAATTTATTAACAAAACAAGATGTGTTGGTATGAGACAACTGCCCTCTCTGCAGCTCTATAACCAAAAGGTAGGTCAAACTCGATCTGAGAGTCATTTATATATTGTAAACCAACTTATTTTAGCTGATATTCATTCTGTGCTTGTTCTTTCTAGCCAATGTGCATGAATTAATTTTCTTGATGTATTTAAATGAGAGAAGATCCAAGTTTTACATAGTCCCAATGATTTTTATTCATATTATTTTTCTACTTGTGTAAAGTTATGAAAATTAGTAAGTTTACACAGTATACACAAATGTATCAGAAAATCAGATCCTGATCAGCAGGCATTAGCAAAAAATAAGTGTGACAAAAACATATGTACATCATTTTAGTCTGAGGGTTATTATTTTGTTAAAAGTCAGTCAACCGGGAAGAAACATAAACTTGATTTGTAACTTATCATTATTATATACATGTTATAAACTAAATAAAGATCCAGACAATAAAAGAAGGTCTGGACAAATACAATTTTCATTTCTCTTTGGGCTTAATTTCTCAAAAAGTTGGTCAACTTGAAAAAGCCAGGGTTCACCCTATTGGGAATCTTGGGAGATGAAGTCCAGTTTTCCTTTCATTGCTTCCTTTTTTTCTTCTTCTATCAAAATAAATTCACCCTTGAACGATAACAGTTACTTCAGTATGTACACTAAAGATATATATCCTGCTGAACTTACTTTAAATAAAGGTAATACTAACAATGAACACTGCCCTTTCCTGAATCTTGATATCTATATCTTTAACTGGAAGCTTAATACCAAAATTTATGATAAAGAAGATGATTTTTCATTTCCTATTGTTAATTATCCATTTTTAGATGGTGACTTGCCCTTGTCACCATCTTATGGTGTTTATATATCTCAACTTATTCGATTCGCTCGTGTATGTAACAACGTATTTGATTTTAACGAAAGAAATCTCTGTATTACTGAAAAATTATTACACCAGGGTTTGCGATATATCACAAACTAGTCAAAACATTTACTAAATTTTATCATCGGTACAAGGACATCATTCGTAAATATAAATCAACATGCAGACACCTTATACGTTCAGGTATTTCACATCCATTTTTTTATGGTAATATTCTATACAAAGCACAAAAATGTCGACATTCACCTCAAAAGCTAACCAAACCTTTAAACAGACTTATATTCAGAAGGGATATAGTTATGATACTGTTATCAGATCATTAAAGATGGCATATTTTGGTATTAATATTGATTCACTCATAGGGTCTTTGCATCGGAAATAAACACATTTATTCTAAAACCAGTTGTTGGCATGATACGGGTTATGTTCTTCTCATATATTTTATGATGGTATGATACTAAACCTCTAACGGTAGGGATTGTGCTTGATTTTCATATGATGAAGACATAATCTTTCAATCAGTTTAATGAGGTCTGGAGCTGGCATGTCAGTAACTGCTAGTAGTCCCTTGTTAATTTATGTATCATTGTTCTTTTGCTTAGTTTCTTAAGTTACCTATTCTGTCATCGGACTCGGTCTTCTTTTGAACTGAGTTTTACTGTTCGTATTACTGTGTGTTTGTTTATTCTACATTAGCTAGAGGTATAGGGGGAGGTTTGAGATCTCACAAAACATGTTTATGCACCTATTTGTATTTTTGCACCTGTCCCAAGTCAGGAGTCTCTGGCCTTTGTTAGTCTTGTATGTTTTTTTAATTTTAGTTCATTTATATGTTTGGGAGTTTAGTGTGACGTCCATTTTCATTGAACAAGTACACATTTTGTTTAGGGGCCAGCTGAAGCCCGCCTCCGGGTGCGGGATTTTCTCGCTGTGTTGAAGACCCATTGGTGGCCGTCTGCTACATGTATTTTCTGCTGTTTGGTCCGGTTGTTGTCTCTTTGACACATTCCCCATTTCCATTCTCAATTTTACTCTAGACAATTTCACATTTTAATGCAAATATATTTTTAAACAAAGATTTATCTTATTTTGATGTAAGGCCTTGTCAATTTTAGTTCTAGTTCTTCAGTCAACTGCTCAAAAGAAAAGTAGCAAAGGAACCATTTTCTTCTTGACAATATTTGTTTTTACAGGGGTGTGCTCTACAAGAGAAGCAAGCAGTATATGTATTGGTTTTAGTTGTGTGATTTAAAAGTGGTACAGTTAATGAACATGTCATAATTGGGGATCTTGATATATATATATATATATATATATAATTGCGGTTTTTATCCAAGGCAATAATAGGTTTGAATGTTGTTTTCAATTTAGACTAGTGACGTTGTGTATATATATATATATATATATATATATAACATAATAAAATCAACAGATAATGCAGATAGTTTGATGTGACTTTCTGGTCTCTATGTAATTTCATTACCTTTTGTTATTTTCCTCAAGCCAGCTTTTGTCTTCCTGAATTTTCATTTTTTATCCTTATGATTTAGGAAGCATAGGAATCACTGCAACTTCACAATTTTTATTTAGGCCAAATAAAGATATTTGTATGGTTCCCGTTCCAAACAAATCCTAATCTTTCTAAACCCCCCCCCCCCCCCACCTTTAATGTATTTTGAATAATTGTATGAAATATTCTGAGATCTTGTTTTTAGCTTTGGAGAACTTAGTTTCTTTAATAAATGTATTGTAAAACTGGAAGCACATTAGATCATTGTCCGTGTTATAACTGTCAGTCGACAACAAAGATAACTGTCAGTCCACAGCTGGTATGTTAATTGTCAGTCCACAGCAATCAGCTGACACACCAACTGTTCTCATATTTGACTTCTCATTTACATATAGATTAATCAAATTTGTATTTGAAAGGATTGGAGCACTGTTTACAATAGAAAAGTGTCTGTGAAAAAAAATTCAAGCAGAAACTTATTTCAGACAGGCATGCATACCAAAATACTTGAATATAGTGTGGAAGCCGTAATTTTTCTCCTTTAAAAGAGCATTTCTTCAAAACATGCATGGTGAAAAATCTTACTGGTGTAATCTAATTACAATGTATAAAAACGGTCAAATAATACAAGACCAATACCAGGTCTGATCCTGCGTCACTGCATGCAATTGAAAGAGGAACATGTATACTGAAGCATAACTGATCATTCCCTTTTACTGGTCAAGAAAAGTTTGATGAAAATTTACTTTGTACAATGAATGTTGAAAAATTTCAAACTATTGGCAAACAGGAAATGGCTGTGCACACTGCAGTTATAAAAATTGCTTACAGGCTTCAACTCATAGATATCAAACTGTAGACCAAATATCAAATCATTCCCTTCCATAGAAGCCAAGAAAAAATTCTACTCATTGTCTTTCGGACAGAGTGGAGTGGTTACTAAAAGGTAAAGGTTTCCCTGCCAAATCTAATACATTGTTTTTGTGAGGACTTTTATGTACATGTATAATATTGTAACCAGACTCAGTGAAAACATTGAAGTTTTGGTATTGGCATTGATGGGTTTGGATCACCAAAGTAATTGTAGGCCACAACTTGTTCATAAATTTATAATGAAAACAAATGGTTGTGAATTTAATTAGATTTTGAAAAACATTACCCTGCATGAATGTGGTTCAGAGTAGACAGAACTGGTGTCTGCTTTTTTCAATCCAAGTTCACCTCATTACTCACTATGGAGAAATTCAGGACTGATGCAGTGACATTAACTTTAATGGACAGTAAAACCAATAGACCACTTTCGAGTAATGTCCTTCACCGGAAAAGTTCGTCAATTATGCACGCCTTTATGACGTCATTTACCAGATAGAGAGGATCGCCTGTATCCCTGCACTATTCAAGTTCATCAAGGGTCTTGGTGATCGTCAGTATACAGGATAAACTAGAAATAATGTTTGTTCCGTAAGTACTTAATCACAATTCCATAATGACAGCAGTGCTGATGATAAATTATAAGAATTTAATTTGCCGAATAATTCGAACAATATAGCATCAAATTTTTTCAACCGCTCGCTCAACATGGAAAGGAAGTGATGATGCCCCTAAGCAGACAAACGATGTTCACAAAAACCAAAGTTTTTGACGGAAATGCAACAAACTTGAAAGTTGTCTATTGCTTAACGTTATTAACCTCATCACTCAGCTCATCAGAATATTTTTTGTTGTAAATAATGAATAGAAGGGAGAGAGAATTTTTGTATTCAAAATATGTCAGATTTCCTTCCATGCTTTAAGTACTTGCATGCTAACACCTGAACAACTAAACATGCTTACTATTTTCAGGCAAAAAGTGGGGATGCTTATTTTTCATTCTAGGAGCTGTGACCTACTTCCATGATACTCCAAATTATTCATTGTTGGTGAGAAGATACAAGCAATATTAATTGTAAAATCATTCTTTATTCTCTAAATCAGTTTGTTTATTTCTCGTTTTCAACATTTAACTATAATACAAATTAAGAGTCAACAATCCAACTTCCTCGACCACATTCCGTAAGGTCTTGAGTAACCTGCGTCGAGTCGTGTCGAGAGGGGAAATGTCACAAGAAGTCAAAGAATTTCACTGAAATTCGGATAACGATGGACATATAAATGACAATTTCAGATAAATAATTGAGTAAGCTTTACCTTGCTTTACTATACAGATATCACATTCCAGAAAGTTTGCGTAAAACTGCTGGATGGCGACAAAAGTATGTGGCATAGTCCTGATCGTTCATGGTGTGTAGTAAAATTCTAGCTGACAACACTGTGTTGTACGCAGCTTACGACTCTGTGTACATAGTTAAGGGCACATTTTTTACGAGATTGACCTAAATTTCAATAGGGTGAAGAATTTACGTGGAATGGAAAAGATATATTCTACTCAATTCAACTCATTGCTTTCCGTCTAATGTTTTTTTTATTTTTCTGTGCAATCTTTTATTTTTGTACCTAAATAATATAATTTCTTGCATTATTATGGTTCATTCTGCACACTTCTATAAATGGTGAATGAGAACGTGACTTAAGATACAAGCTCATCGATTGGACAAAGGCATATCATCAATGACGTCGACTAAACCTTCCAAGATGATTGGACAAAGAACATCTAAAGATTTGGTCAATTGATCAATTCTCCCAACATTTGGTAATTCAAAAACATGTTGCAAAAGACACAAAAATCATTGCATCGAAATGCATTCGAACCCTTGGCATACTAAAATAATGTGTTCGGTAATTAAAATATCATTGCATTTAGTGATTTGCAGCATTTGATTTCAATCAAAGATTATACGTCATATCCAGAAAATGCACAAAAGCCCCGCCTATTTTCATCAATGAACTAATGAGAAGTTTCCGTACAAACCTAATTTAATCCAACATACAAGTTTATGGGCCTCCAATCCATTGTTGTCTTGAACCACAGTATGTGTGTATTATTTTTGTAAGATTACGCAATTCATATTCTTACGTTCATTACACAAAATACATTTAACCATTATTTAAAAAAAAAAATAATACCTCGAAGAAAATTTTAATGAAAAGAAAGTAGTTTTAGACTAAGTACTAACAAAATTACATAGATTGAATACTATTTTTGTTCTGCAAATGTTAATTATCATGTTGTTTTTAATAAATAAATGTGTTATACACGATCTTATGCATATGCCCTCCTGCCACCTGGAGTCTTTAAATCATTTTTGTAATGAAAATTTAGGCCTAATAGTGAATCCAAAAAGTGAACCACAAACTGACTACAATACTCGTTGAATTAAAACAAACCTCTTTTCTACAGGAGTTTTCTTTTTATGTGTGTTTAAGAATTTTCATGAAACTTTCTTCTTTTTTTCATCATTTATAAGATCTTATAATGTGTTATTGCTCGTCTACATACAATATGAAAGAGGTAAATGTAATGAGGTACTCCTTGAAAACAATGATACTGCATGCATGGACTCATGGACTATCCGTGAATTCGATAAATTAACCATCAGAATGACCATGATGACTGGCTCGGTTAAGTTGTAGTAGTCCTTTATTAATTTGTGTTGATCATTGTCATTTTGCTTAGTTTCTTCTGTTACCTATTCTAACATAGTACTGGGACTTCTTTTGAACTGAGTTTTACTGTGAGCATTGCTTTGTGTTTTTCATTCCACATTTGCTATCTCAAGAGGTGTTAGGGGAGGGTTGAGATCTCACAAAACATGTTTCAATGTTTTACCTCGCCACATTTTGCGCGTCCGAAGTCAGGAACCTCTGGCCATTGTAAGTCTTTTGTGTTCTATTAAAATTTTGGTTCATTAGTATGTTTCCAGTGGCGGATCAAAAAAAGGGGGGGGGGGGGGGAGTTCCGGAGTTGGAACCCCCCTTTTTTTTGACGATCAATGCTATTGAATGGGGACATATGGTTGGAACCCCCCCCTCCCACCCCCCTTAATCCTGGTTTGGAACCCCCTTTTAAAAATTGCTGGATCCGCCCCTGGTTTCGGAGTTAAATGTTGCGTTCATTTCGCTGAACTAGTATAAATTATTGTTTAGGGGCCAGTTGAAGACCACCTCCGGGTACGGGAATTTCTCGCTGCTGTGAAAACCCATTGGTGTCCTTGGGATGTGTTATACTCTTTGGTCGGGTTGTTGTCTCCTAGACACATTCCCTGTTTCTATTCCTTATTCTATTCTAAGAAATGTATGATCATATTGGTCTTCTTCCGACCGACAGTAAAACCATTGCCGCAAAGTCGAGCGTCCGTTTGGCTGTGCGGGATGCGCTCCCGTTTTCTGATATGTCGCGCGACATATAAATTCAAGTTTTCAACGATAGCACTGAAGTGAGAGGTTTGATTTTAATCAGACTGCGGGATTATGATCACATATGACATATATAAATCGCATTCATGTCCTGGAACGTTAAATTTCTTGTCTCGTGTAGAGAGACTGAGTGCAACTCATTCTGAAAGTTAAGAACCCTTGCAAAAACTCTTTGGATGGGTCCGTAGGTGGAGTGTTGCAAAAAAACAAAATTTCTGTCTCTGTTCGATAACCTCGATTTCCATTGCATTTTAAATGTCCACCCTACACCCTGGTCGACATCTATTGCAATTTCATTTTTTTTTTGCCAAAAAGGGGGGCAATTGTCCCTTACCCCACCATGTGTGGCTATGCAGTGTGTAATCTCTCACAATAGGTTTGTGTTTTCTTGAAATTTTTAGTATATTGCATTTATCGGGATGAAAGGCCATTTTCCATTTTCTTTCCCAGATTGCCAGTTTGTTGAGATCCGCTTGTAAGTTGTCACTGTCTGTGTCTGATGCTATGGTAAGATATACTATGGTATTGTCGGCAAAAAGTCTAACCCTTGGGCGAATAACTTCTGATATGTCGTTTATGTAGATAAGGAACAAACTGGGTCCGGGTACTGAACCTTGTGGGATGCCTGATTCTACGTTGATTGTTTCAGATTTCCCCCTTTCTACAACTACTACTTGTTTCCTTCAGAAAGGAAATTTTGTATCCATTTGCTGGTTTTACCCCCTGATGCCATAGTGATCCAGTTTGTGTGTTAGTAGACTGTGACTTACTTTATCGAAGGCCTTTGAAAAATCCATAATTAGGCAGTCTGTTTGTTTCCCTACATCCATGTTTATGTTGATGTCATTGATCAAGTCGATCAGTTATGTTTCGCAGGATAGGCCACTCCTGAATCCATGTTGTAGTGGGTAAAGTATTTTATTTTTATCAGCATGGGTCATTATGTGGCTTGTTACAATGTGCTCCATGATTTTGCAGCAAATGCAGGTAAGTGACACTGGTCGGTAGTTTACTGCATCAAACCGTTTTCCCTTCTTGAATATCGGACTTACATTTGCTCTTTTCCATATATCTGGTAAGTCACCTGTTTCATAGAACCGTCTGAAGATCGTTGTTAGTATTGGTGCAATATCTGATGAAAGTTATTTTAGTACTAGTACCCTAAGGGAGCTACCATTTGATTTTTATGGGGGGCTAGGATGAAATTTGAAAAAAATAGGCAGGACAGGAGTTTTGAGTAAAAAAAAGGCAGGATGAGCAACTTGGTAAAAAAAAAGGCAGGATGACAATTTGTGTAAAAAAATTCAGGATAAACTAGTAAAAAAAAAAGGCAGGACCGAATAGAGTAAAAAATAAAAAGGCAGGACAGAGATTACAACTAAAAAAAAGCAGGACAAAATTTTTCATCCTAGCTAGCTAGCCTCCCCCCCCATAAAAATCAAATGGTAGCTCCCTTAATGTTATAGTATCTGGCCCATCAGCCTTGTATGGGTTCAGATTTGATAATAATTTTGCTATTCCATTTTCATTGATGTGTAAGTCCAGTAGTGAAGGGTAGAGTTCGTTTGTCATGTTGCAACGGTCTTTAAATACAGTGTCTGTAAAATTTATTTTATCGGGAAATGCTGATAGAAACTGTTTAGTTAATATGTTTACCTTTTCAACTGGGTCTAGAGGCTCTAGATGGAGTAGTCCATTACTCCTTAAAGGTAGTATTTAATTTCTATCTAATCTTTTGTGTTTGATGAATGTCCAGAAACGTTTTATATAGTCTGTTTTTTGTCGTCTTTTGGATCTGGTGTTATAAATGTCCTCTATACATTCCCTATTAGGCCGTCTGATTCTCTCTGTACCACTCTTTTAAGTTACTTATATTTGCTGTTATACTTTGGATCAGCCGATTTGTTTTTATAATGTTTGTCTTGTTTTCGAATTAGTCGTTTGGTGTCTGCCGTGATCCAAAAGAGGGACGAAAGATACCAGAGGGACAGTCAAACTCATAGATCGAAAACAAACTGACAACGCCATGGCCAAAAATAAAAAGACAAACAGACAAATAATAGTACACATGACACAACATAGAAAACTAAAGACTAAGCAACACGAACCCCACCAAAAACTGGGGGTGATCTCAGGTGCTCCGGAAGGGTAAGCAGATCCTGCTCCACATGTGGCACCCGTCGTGTTGATTATGTTATAACAAATCCGGTAAATAGTCTAATTCGGTAGGTCACATTCGTGAAAAGGGGAGGGTATTGTAGTTACGACATAAGGAACATATCCGATATCATCTATGAAACGGTTATTCCATAACGGTCAATCAACTCGTGATGGTGTTCGTAAAATTTACAAAGGGATGATTTCAACTTCACCATTTGGAACTCTTGGTTTAATAGCTTCCTTGTGAGCAGCAATCCTCTATCAAGGAAATCATGATAGGAAATACAAGCCCGGGAATATCGTATCAATTGGCAGATATATACTCCGTATGCAGGCGCTTCTGGAATGTTGCTACATAGAAATGGAAAGTTACACAATTGGGAAGCTGAAATCATCTCTTTTGTCGTTAAGTTTTGTTTTCAACCGACCCTCATTGTCAATTTCTAGATGTAAGTCAAGATATGAGGCAGACTTAATTGTATCTGTAGTATCCTTTATCTCTAGTTCGATGGGATAGATTCGTTCAACATAGTCACCAAATTTTGTATTATTTAGTGAGAGAACATCATCTATATAGCGGAACGTAGAGTTAAAGGATATTGCTAACTTCTTATCTTTCTTCCTAAGAAGTTCCTGTATGAAGTCAGCCTCATAATAATAAAGAGACAAGTCGGCAAGAAGAGGGGCACAATTGGTTCCCATTGGAATTCCGACAGTCTGTTGAAAAACACGTCCTCCAAACGTAACAAATATGTTGTCAATCAAGAAATCAAGCATCTTGATAATGTCAGTTTCAGAGAATTTT